ACGTTTGATGGAAAGACTTCAAGGGTGGGCCCAAAAGACTTTGTCATTAGCGGCTAAGTAAACCTTAATCAAATCAATTGCCTCAACATTACAGTTGCACGTAATGTCCTGTTTTAAACTCCCTCTTTCCCTTTGCCGAATTTTGGACAGACTTGTGGTTCATTTTTGGTGGGGAGTGGAATATGGGCATTCCCGAATTAGATGGATGTCTTGGAGGTAAATGTGTAGAAGTAAGCATGAGGGAGGAATGGGGTTCCGCAGATTTGAATATTTCAACTAGGCGCTATTGGCTAAGATTGGTTGGCGGATACTTAATGAACCCCAGTCTCTTCTTGCTCAGGTGTATAAGGGGAAATATTTTACTACTGGCAAGTTCCTCACTGCTACTGCGCATTCTCGTCCATCTTGGGGTTGACAAAGCATCCTGTACGGATGCGAGCTTTTAGTTCGTGGTCTTCTCTGGCAGGTTGGGAATGGCATGCAGGTGTCAGCCCTTAATGATAGTTGGGTCCCGACCTTACATCCCGACCCTCCATCTTTTAATCCTAGGGTTCTTCCGGAAGAGGGGGACCTCAAGGTGGCAGATTTGATGTGTCAAAGCGAGAGACGCTGGTCGAGTGAGAAACTTTCCCAGTGGCTCCACCCATACTCTTGTCAAGCTATAGAGGCAATTCCTTTGTCTCGTCGGGAGGTCGGAGGACAAACAAATCTGGCACGTGACTAGGGATGAAGTTTTCACTGTTAAATCGGCTTAACATCTTGCGGTCTTGGTTGATAAGCAACGTGGGAGGTGGAGTCCTCAGTTGGATGGATCATCAAAGCTGGGTACGTATTTTGGATTCCTCGATTCCACCTAAGCTGAAGATATTTTTATGGAAAATCTTACATCGTTTCCTACCAACCACGGAAGCCCTTATTGAGAGGAAGGTCCGGGTGCATCCTAGGTGTCCGGTGTGTAGGTCTACGGTTGAAACTATGGAACATGTCTTTTTAGAGTGTCCGATGGCTAGAGCAATGTGGGACCATTCTGAGTTGGAACACCTTGGCCCAGACCTTCCGCGACATACTTTCCCCAATTTTCTCAAAAAATTGGTGGCCGTCATTCAGGATCCGCATCAAGTTATGACCTTAGTAGCGGACTAGCGGTGCTATGGAGGATTTGGAAGTCTCGCAACTGGGTTGTCTTTGAAGGCAAACAGTTCACGATTCCAGTCCTGATGAGGCAGTATCTTTAGCAGTTGCATGAATGGCTTAATCTGCCTACGGATAGGGTGGTGGGTTCCGCTTGTATTGTGACTGCTGGTGTATTGCCTGCCAGCCCTGATTTTATCATCTGTAGGTGGGATGGAGCGGTGGGACGAGGGTCTCACTCGGCGGGAGGGATGGTAATCTTGGATCATGGAGGAGAGATTATTTTAGCAACTGGTGTTGTCTTCACTGGGATAGATGATCATATGGTCGTGGAGCTGCTGGTTCTCCGGGATGCAATCTTGTGGTGCTTACAACGAGGATTGTCTGTGGTGAGATTCGAAGGAGAGGCAAAGATGGTTATTGATAGACTCAACCAGGCTCAGGAACAGTATAGCCGGGCAGGTGCCATTTTCCATGAGGTCTTGAGATATTTGGCGGAGCATGTGGGGTTTAGTGTCCGACTCTTAGGTCGGGAAAATAATAGGGTAGCCCATGCGGTGGCTCGAAAGGCCCTCTTTTTGTACCCGATAGCGTGTCGTTCGTTTGATTTTATTGTCTGGTTGCGGCTCAGGATGTAATCATCTTTTTTCTCAATCAATATATGGTTATCTTTTGTAAAAAAAAACTTGAAGGAAAATTTAAAATTTTTAATGCTTTCATCTTGCAAAAATAGGACCACAAAAGCTACCTAGATTCAAATGTATCTCAAACAACCACCTGAGAGAGGTCCTCTACTTATAAGCTTGAGAGCTTTGAATTCACATGTGAAAAATATTTATGAAGAATGAATGCTTCGTGTAGTCATGATCTCAAATATTCATGAATAATAAAAAAAATAATAAAAAAAACAACAAAAACTGTATGTATATTCCATTCCCTCGCAAATGTTTAACTTGGGGGAAAATTAGGGAGAAGATACAAGTAATTATGCAGCAAAAATGAAGGGAGGAAAGTGTTATTGTACTTTTTTTTTTTTGCATCCGTCCAACTGTTTACTTAACAACAGTATTAGGAAACAAAAACATATAAAAACCAACGTTTATTTAAACACTAACAAAACCATCTTTGTGACGAAAATTCGATGCCCACTCACCGTCGCAGGTGATGCACCCTCACCGTTAATCCGGCGAGCCCCCAAATACATAAATATTAAGTCCTAGCTTTTGTTATTTTTTAAAACCTCTTTTCTAGTTTTTTCTTCTAAATCTCTTTTTATCCTAAATAAATAAATAAATAGTCAGCACGACGTCGTACTGGTTACGCGGCCAGGGCCCACAAAGCCATCACCGTCATCACCATCCCGGCATTGGTAAGGCTCATCTGAGCGGCACCACCGGTAGGTGCTGCTGCCGGCGCATCGGCATCGTCCGATGGGCTATCCGCAGACGGAGAATCCGAACCCGCCGGCGGCGCAGGAGGGGACGAGTTTGATTGAGAGTCGTCGGACGACGACGGAGAAGCTCCGCCGGCAGGAGAGTCGGACGACGAGTCGCCTTTACCTGACTTGGAAGGCGCCGGGGAATCGCCGGACGTGTCTGATGGCGATGCTTCCGACGATTTTGCCCCCTTGGGAGACTTTGCGGGCGACTTTGACGGCGCCGGAGACGGGCTGTCGCTCTTCTTCTTTGATGGAGCTGGAGCAGGAGAGTCTGACGACGACGACGGGGAGGTCGCCGGTGACTTCCCCTTCTTTCCCCCGGCGGTGGAGTTCGAGGATTTCGACGGCGATGGAGCCTTCGTCGGTGATTTCTTCGGCGAGGCGCCCTTGGACGGGGATTTGGACGGAGCCTTGGCCGGTGCCTCTGATTCTGCCTTCTCCGAAGTTTTGAGTTCCTCCTCCTCGCCGTCGCCGCCTTCTTTCAAATTCTTCGGCATGAACACCTGATTCAGATCCCCCGTCTTGATCCCGCCGTTCACCGCCGGCTTCTTGGGGAACTCCCGCCGCACCATCCACTTGCTCGACACCGCGACCCGGCCGGCGGCGTCGGAGCCTGCTCCCTCGCTAGCGACACTGACGACAGGCGGAGGCGTGACAATCACGCCGCTGACGTGGAAAATCGACACGTTTCGCGAGGGAACGACGACGGATCGGAGGAGGTTTACCGTGTGCTTGGAGCGGGGAAGAATCGCGCTGGCGAAGGAGAGGCGACCGCCCTTCCCTCTCTTGGTAACCAGCAACATTCCATCTTTGCCCCTGGCCAGCCCCGTCAGCACGTAGATGGTGCGTATCAATGCGGTGCCATTTTGCGCGCTCCGGAGGCGGTCCAAGTCATAGTACTCGGGGATGACGTGCATCGTCATCACCCGTTTGATTTCCTCTCGCGATTTGCCAGATATGGAGCCCATGTTGGCATTGTCGACAGCGAGGATGGTCACGTTTTTGAGGTTGGTCATCATTCCCACGACGCCGACCTGAGCCAGGTAGTTGGAGAAGGTGCTGAACTGCTTCAACGGGCCCAACACCTGAGTTACATTGAATGCCGAACAAGATGTGGCAGCCGCGAAGAAGAGGAAGGAAAAGAGAATTAGACGTAGGGAAGTAGCCATTTTTTCTTTCTTTCAAATGGATTGATGTGTGTGTTAGGGATGATGGTGATGGAGAAAGTGATGAATGTTGGGGTTTTTATAAGGTAGAGAGATGGAGATTGGGTTTGTGGAGAAGAATGGGAGTAACATTTTTGGATGGAGGGAAATGAGAGGCAATGTCGGATCGCCATTGATGTATTTGAGAGTGTTAAATGGGGGATAGAGCCACTTGCAGACTCTGGATTGAACTTCGTAATTGGGAGAGGCCATTGTTCGTTCCTTTTCCTTTAATTAGGGGAGAACAACCGTGAAGTGGTGGTGGTGGTGGAACAAGCAATTGAAACAAAAGCCCAAATAGTGGAAGAGGCCAAAAATTGAAGTGGGCTTACCTGGATGTCAAACCCAACCCATTCAGCCGGATTCCCAAATTCTCATCCTACTGTTTTTACCAGTCCGGCAGTCCCAATCATCGTCAGCAATCTTGGCAGTACAGGTGGTGTTCGCCGGCAAACGCCAGTGGACGAAAGAGGATGAAAATGCAAGCCCTCATCAGCTTTTTGTCTCAGTTTCTTAGAAACACACATAATTCGTTTTCCATCCGAGTCTTAAAATGCTTACTACTATGTATTCTCGTTGTAGCGAAGAGAAAGGAATCCCAGACAAAGTCAGATAGATTCATGATTCAAATCAGAGGACCAGCCATTGAGGGATTTCTTGGTTTCACATTCCTTTAGAGAGGTAATGACAATTTAAGTTCTACTTTCGTCTAGTTCCCTCTATACTTGGGTTTTGTTATCTGCATTTTCTTCTCTGTGTGCTGCCTGCGGTTTATTCTTCTGCTTGAGCTAACTAAAAAATTTGCAAACAAACAGTTGCAGATGTTTTTCCATGCCCACTTCAAGGTGGACGACGATCTCCAAGCCTGTGTTGTCGTCTATACTTCAGACAGCCATTGACGTCATTCTTCCTGTAATTCAACGTGAAAAGACTGAAACGGCTAGGAGCTGCATTGAGTGTCTGACAAATCTTACCGTAGATTGCTGGTTCTTTTTTGTCGCTTCATTTCGTCGACAAGAAGTCACCTGTATTCTTTATCTCCAACACATTTCCCCAATATGAAGATGTAGTTTAATGTCCTGGTTGCTTGCTTCATATCATCATTTTTTTTATTAGATCAAAACCAGTCTGGCAATGGGAAGGAATCCAACGCCTATTCGTGTTAGCACCAATTGGTGTAACAGAAGAGGCCATTAAGTATAATTAAAATTTCATAAATTGTGATGATAATTACAACCTAAATGAAAAGGCAGTAGTACAAAAATAAGGTGCAAACAAGTAACTAAACCCATCTCTCATTTCTGTCAAATTTATATTTACACCTTCCAAAAGGAGAAACAAAATAGAAAGATTGGGCTCTTTGAACCGATAAATACCAATCATCTTCCAACTATTGTCTTCACAACATCTACCCAAAGAATTACAATTCGGGTATGCACAACAAAATGTCAAAATCCCTTCTACTTCATACTCACAACTCTACTCAATATATTAGGCTTTCTTGCTGCCGCGGCGGCTAGAGCTGCGTTAGAGCTAGTGTTATCCGTTCCCTGATGACTAATAGTAGCTTCTTCTTTGATTCCATTGACAAGATGCCGTAGTTGTGGCACTTGTTCTGCTTCCACTTTGCTGCTACTTAATATCTGCAGAAAAAAAGTCGAGTAAGCTTTTAAGATGGTCCATGGCTGCGCCAAGTAAACCCAAAGAGGTGGATTGAGCTCTAAGATAATATCAAACCCAGTAAAGAATAATTACCTGGGCATTTTCTGTTTTGTACTTCTGGAGTTCTTCCTGGGCACATGTCAGCCTGCATTTCCACAACACACAAAAAATGGTAAGTCCTGCAACAAGTTTGATGGTTTCTTTTTCAGAGTTAATGAATGCAGTAAGGCAAAGACTCGAATTTGTTGATCAGTACCTCCATCTTAGGTCTGTTACTTCAAGAACCAATTCTTTCTCCCTTTCATGCATTGTTTCCATCTGGAAGTGGATTGCCAAAAGAACAAAAACAAATGGAGAAAGGTTAGTTCTTCAACTGCAGGAATTAGATATATGTATAAGAATGACAATCACTAAGGCATATGGCATTGCATTACCAAAGATTTCTCCATGGAAGCAAGTTGTAGTGCCGATCCTCCCTCAGGGCCACGAAGGGCTAACGGCCAATCGAAACGAGCAAGGTAAGTTCACATGACTTTAATTCAAAAGTTCTGTTTTGAAACTGGCTATGGGACACAAAGAAGAAGGATGCTCGAACCTGTAGTTTCACAGTTGGACAACTGCTTCATTATACCAAGGATGGTGTCCTGTTGCGGGGGGAAACAGGTCATGAAGAAGAACTAGGTTTGCAAATGGAAAGAGCTGGAAACAACACTTGATATGATATGATACGTACTCTTTGAGCGATGTTCGCCTGTAAAACGGACTGTAAGAGTGGAAATACAGAGTAAACCGAAAGACTTGAGGATGTGCCTTCTGGCGTTGGCGATAGAGGAACCCCAGGAACTGGAGTGATCACCTACGTAAATAAATAACACTTTGGGCTAAGGCAAAAATATAGCTAGGAAATTCAAATCTCTGAACAATTCTCCTCAAAAAACAGAATGTAAACTCTAGCAGTCATATCTTTTCCTAAAGTTCTCACATCCATCCTTCCTCTCATAACTAGTTTGAACTATTCATCATTAATCTCTCCCCCTCTGGAATCCCCTTTCGCTAGAAGAAAAGGGACCAAAATAGATTTTGGCTCACTCAAGACTTTGAACTGGTTATAGTCAATCCTTTAAACACTCCATCTAGTGAGTTAATGGGAAAGATGAGACATGTTGTATGTCTTATATAGTCTAAAATTCACAAAGTGGTGGCCTCCTGGGTGTATTCGCAAGGTTATGGGGAAGATAGGTAGGTATGCACAGCCTTGCGCTTGTTTTCACAGAAAGGCTAGTTTCACCAGCTGAACCCCTTATCTGTAGGTCACAGTGGAGCAACCTTAGAATCACAAAAAGGCTCTTCCAGAAGAATCCGAAATTTTAAATCAAAGAAAGAAATTGAAAGTGAAAGTGAAAGACACGTGACACTAGAGTAGCTAAGGAATGGGAAGGGAAGGAGGAGCGTGGAAGACAACTGCATAAACCCTTGTTTTAACTCTACCAATCTCACAAGCTGAGAAGTTATTGCATTCAAGATAAAGAAAATACAAGCTGAAATGAAGTTATTGATGCATATACTTTATCTGTAAAATGACGAACCTGCATGCTGTGGCTTTTCTGCAGCAACGGGGATGGTGCTGCCTGTAATGAAGAAGAGTTACACACCATTCGGATTGAAGTGACAGGATAAAACAAAAACCTAAGTACCCACCTTTTCTATATCTACATTCTCTGACGTAACTTTGAAACGTCCTTTTTGTTGAACAACTGGTGGCTTCGTTTTCTCGTCTGATTCTTCACTAGTGCCTGCATCGTGAAGTGGAAAGAGTAGTCAAGACAAATTTTCACTTCCCTAGAGAGGAGATTACATGGAGATGATGAGTCAGTGCATATAATATAGCAAAATCTAGCAACCAAAAGAACTTGAAAACCTACCTGGTAATTTGACTTCACCATCGAACGCCACTGTTGAGCCATTGCATGATGGAATTCTTGGGAGTTGGCCGACCAATTTATCACTTTTGGACACAAAAGTTAAAGTAAAAAAGAGAGGGTATCAGCAGAGACTTCACTCGCTGCTAGCAACCTACGTGCATATAAAGCTTCGAATTTGAATTTCCAACAACTTTTGAGTTAAAGATTTTCCAACCTGTCCCCTTTGCTTTGTGGAACAACAGGATCACAGAAATTGAAGCTAAGGCTACCGGGACCTATCAATTTGTTTTGGGAATAAATCGGCATGCTCTCGGGAATTTTTGTATTTATCTCAAAAGTGGGCCTTTCCGTAGCATTGTTGTCAACAAATCGAGGAGAACAGAGCTGTGAAACTGAACCAGATGGACTTGGAAGGCTGTACTCATCATCAGATTTCTCACCACTGATTCTGGAAATCAATCATAACTTGCATCAGAAACACTTCACACCAATAGAGTAAACTCTAAGGACGACTGATGTATAAGGAATGTTGGTGAACTAATTGAATATAGGTTGGTGATAATACTTTGTAATGTTAACAGATGAGTTTACTGTTTGAAGAGGAACAGGGCGAAGTCGTACCAAGTCAATTTCATCCTGTCCAATCAGAAGAATTAGAAACAATGTCATCAAATTGATATATCCTACATTATAAGACAATCGAAACATAATACCGTAACTAGTACCGATTCGACAATCTGTCTGACAGACGTGGCCTGCGATTCATATTGTTTATCATGCCCATCAAGTGCTGACAAAGAACTTGAGCTTCCACTTCGACAATTATCAGCAACTATGTCGTCGTCTGGGATCTGACAGTAGAAAGTATTATATCATAAGGAAATTGGGGAAAAACTAGATGAAAATTGGGGACTTAACTGAGTAGACAAGTCACCATACCAAAGAAGCCTGAGCTTTCACGTCTTCAAGGTTGAAATTCCAACCACTAATTCCTCGTTTGTATTCATTCTGTAAGCACTCAAAATAACATGCAAAAAGAAGTTGCATTAACAAACAAAAGATTTCCATTAAGAAACCATCTGACATCAAAAGAAAAAACATTAGAAGAAAATACCACAACCATTTTCCAAATTGGACAAAGAAATCTTAACCTGTGATATTTCCTCCATCTCCCCATCGGGCATTTTCTTTTGTGCGAGCATATCCTCTTCCTTCCTCTATATCTCCAAGGATGAAATGTTTGTCAATGAGATCAAACATAATTTATTTAATTACCAAAATAATTATGATCACATACTGGTCACTAACCTTCAATGCCATAATACGATCACCAAGAACAGGCAATCCCTCTAGAAGTGTCCGTGATAGATAGTCACTGGATCTGGCTTGCTTGAAAAATGAATGCTTTAATAATTTCTTTGCCGAAGGCCGTTTCGAGGGATCTTTCACCAAGCAACTGGCAATCATCTGCTTGAAGGACTGAAAAGAAAACAAAGGGAAAATGCAGGCGCATGATGGATGGAACATAGGTAAAGGTGAAATTATTCCTTAAGTAACTTGGTACAATGAACATACTTTAGAAAACTTCTTATCTCTTTCATAGTCGAGACCTGGGGGAGCATTTTGGAGAGTCATGAGCAACACCTTACCATAAGAAAGAGTTGCATTTTAGACTAGACAAGCTCTTAATCCTTTCAAACAACAGAGCAATAGAAGCACACAGTTAAGAATTAACCTTCATTGGAGGATATTTGGAGAAAGGAGCATGCCCATGGGCAAGCTCTAAACCAGTTATCCCAAAAGACCAAATATCAGCCCTGTGGGAAATTGTCATATAAATCTTCATCTCTGTACAAGGTTATTAATAGAGACACTTTAAATTGAAAGAGGAATATAATACTAACTTGAAGTCATATCCATGTAGTTGTTCCATAACTTCTGGTGCCATCCTGAAAGATGACAATATGGCATCGATTAAATTTTGGAATTTCAGAAGAATAAATTTTGACCCTACAAAATTTGACTATTGGCAATGACTTAGTCTTCTGGTGTAAGTTTGAAATATCAGATTCCATAGAAAAGATGCTCCTCTGCAGAAAAAACAAGTTCAAGTTCTTGAAACATACCAGCACGGAGTCCCAACAAATGTATTTCTCATACGTTTCCTATCACCCGAGTCAAAAAGGGAAGCAGAAACACCAAAATCTCCCAGCTTTACTGCACCTCGTCCATCAATGAGAACGTTGCCAGCCTAACAGAAGAATAAGGATTGCATCATCAGATAAGCAACTTCATCAAACAAGGGAAACAACATGGGCTTTAGCTAATTTATTCATTTGAAGAACAACAGATGAGTTACTAGTTCACGTCCACATCCTAATATTCACGCATGAGGTGCGTCAAAGCTGGCGTCCATATTAAAGTTCTTGGCTTAACACGCCAATGCAAACTAGACAGAAATAGTTAGAGATCAAAATGAAAATCTCAAGGAAAGGTAGAAATGGCTCCTCTCCTCTCCAGGCCATGCTATTGTTTAAAAACTCGACCTACAGATCAGTGCATCGGGATGCACCTAAAAGAGTCATTTCAAACTCCATTACGTGGTTAGAAGAACACCAACAAGGAGCAGAATAAAAGCAGTAAAGAGGAAAGGTGCAACTAACTAACTTTAACATCTCGATGAATGTGGCCATGATGATGAAGATACTCCAGACCCTTCAACACCTCCCGGAGTATGGTGGCTATGACTACTTCCTCGAACCCATCGGGAAAAGCTGCCTTCAATATGTGAAGACAAGAACCTCCTGCCATGTACGGCATCACCACCCATAGATTGTGGTCGCTAACAAAGGAGCAGTGCGATTTCAGGACATTATTATGGTCCACGAGGATCATTGTTTGTACCTCCCTAGAAATATTCACCTGCAATAAGATTACAGGAAAAGGAACAAATTAGCAACAACCAAACAAAAACAGTATAACATCACTATCACATTGGAGTGAAAGTTGCTTCTCTTTTCTTTCCAACAAAATTCCATCCATTGGACTCATGTGGGTCCCGCAACCTGCATTTCTTTGATTCTTCTCCAATCCTTCACTTTTATGAGGCAAGATATAATGCGAAACATATAACTCAAAGCGAATCCCAGGGCAGATAAAAATGGAAAGGAAAGCAGCTCAAAATCAATTGAAGGAAGCTGCACGCACGAAATCATCATAACACAAACAGAGAAGGGAACAAGAACTGGACCCACCAAATCGACGTTGTCCCGCTCGAAATCGAGGATCTTGATGGCGACGATCTCGCCGAAGGGGATGCACTTAGCCCTGCGAACGGTGGCGCTCACACCCTGACCGATCTCCTCGTACAACTCATAATGCTCACGGCCAATAGGGTACTTTTTCTTCTCCATTCTCGACAGACAGACAAAGGCTATCAAACAAAATGGGGGCGAGAGATAGGTCGTGAAGCGATTAATTTTTCACCAAAGTCGAAAACTTTTGGAGGATTGACTCTGGAATTGGGGGAACAGAGCAAGTGGGTTCAGCTAATTTGGGGTTGATTCACATGAAAGAAAGAGGGGGAAAAGAGCAGAAAAACGAAATTGAGGAGAAGAGGGCAGAAAGGGAGGGATTCGTTGTTGCCTTTGCCTCTCTCTGCTTTCTCGCGAGATTGACCGCAGACGGAGGCGCCACTGACAGGCAGATAGACACACGGCTACGCTATGTGAATGGATCGCCGATGGATTTCTCTCTCTCTCTCTCTCTTCTTTTTTCCTATTTGAGATTTGTGGAGAAATAATTTTTGTAGTTATGGGGTATTTATAGTTTGTTGTTGAAAGAGATGCCTCTGCCAAGTCCAACTCACCATTCTCTCTTCCTCCCTATTTTATTTTGTATACTTTTGCAGTTTTGTTGCTCCTCTTTTTTATCGTCTTCTTTTTAACACTTTTTACAATGAGATCATAAATTGTTAGTCTATATGAGATGGAGGCTTCATCAATTGAAAAATGAGATAATTTGATCAATTGTCTAATTTTATAAAAACGAGTCAATTTAAATAGTTTGTCCCTATTCTAGACATTTGTAATTGTCTCAAAACGAGTCAATTTGAAATTTTTCGGACAAAATTGGTTCGTCAAAATTTCATACTCCCAAACGGATCAATTCGGATAGGGTACCCATAAATTCGAGTTTTGTTGACATTCCTACGTGCAAACGATCCCTGGATTATATGCCTATGCATTGGCGGTACAATCTTGATATGATTACCGGACAAACAAAATTTTATAGAATGATTGAAAAGCTGCTCCACAAATTTAGACAAAGTATGATATAATATGATGTTGCCAATTACGAGTAAACAAGAAAGAGAAGCTTAGTGAAACTTTGATAATTCCGAAACTTGGAGAGAATAATACAAACGTCAAAGTCAGTAAGTTTTTTTGGATTAAACCAAAGTCGTTTGTTTCAATGTTACATCTATTTTTCACATTTAAAACCTGAATTATTAATGTACATTACTTGTTGGAGCCTTTTATCAGAAAATGACTTGATACTCTAATTTGTTCCAATTTTTGCACCTTTTTTTAGCCATGAGATACATACACGATGTCTTCTATTCTAATTTGTACTTACTTGTACTCATTGTTTCTCGGACATTCATAGCAAGTGAAGACCATCAAAAAAATGAGTGCTCAATTTGTGTGTCGAATATAACCATTTGGAAGCGTTGAAGATTTTGGTGGAGGTTTTAACTGATGATAATGTGGTGGTGATTTAATATATTTTTTTATTATCTTCATCGATTGAACTTGGATTAATAGTAAAAATCACTCCTTATTATTGTATTTTCTCAAATTCGTCTTTCTATTATTTTAATGTCGAACTTGTCACTTAATGTATTCACCTTTCTAAACTTGTCCTTCAAAATTTTGTTATGATTTCATTAAAATTGTGTCAACCCGAGTTGATCCAGATTCGTGTAGATGTTAAATGTCATTTCCGCACTTAATAATTGCAAATAATCTTCCCCATCTTGTATCAAGGCTAGAATTCCCAAACAGAGTGTTACGATAATTAAGCCATCGTAACTATTGGGCCTCGATCTAAACTTGTGTATCTTTATTGTTTTAGTATTAGTAGTAGTTTATTATTATTTAGTCTTTATAATTGTGTCCCTTGTTTAAGTAAGATTTGGTTATTCTTAGTTGTTTCCTTGTAGGAATAGGAGTAATGTTATAAATAGAGAAGGTAGAGGCTTCTATGCCTATAAATATGTACTTTATCTTTCGTTTAATGGTATGAAGAAGATTGGAACCCAAATCTAGTTTATTGTCTTTCGTTTAACGCAATTTATCGCGTTTTATCGTAGTTTGTTAGTTTTCTTGCAAGGAAGTTACGAGTTAAGAATTCTTCAATTCTGTGTCTCGTAACACAGAGAGATAGCGAATGGGAAGCACAAAGCAAGTAGCATGCGCATTGGCTTGTACCATTAGTTGTCGTAATCGTCTTCCAGATAATGATCGAGTTATCGAAGATAGTCGATGTAGCCTAAATTGGTGGCACGGGTGCAGAGAGACTCCGACTATAAGATTCTTCTCATTTTCCAGACAGACGCTATCATGGAAGTGCATGATGACGAGTGAGTTCAGAGTTGGTGTGTAGTGTTTGATAGTTGTTTTAACCTCTTTGTTAATCCATGCATTAACATCTCCCAACAACACGAGTTATTAGGATCAGTTGGTTTATGACATGGTATCAGAACGGTTCATTATTGAGGTAAGGTGTTCAAGTCCTCACCACCCCTCAATATTAACTTTTATCTTATAAGCACATAGTATGGAGGACCTGTGCAAAATTTAAGCCAGTTTTTGGCTTTCGTTTGAGGGTGCGTGTGAGAAAGTGGTTAATATTCATTTATGGCCTCTCCCAACAACTCGAGTTATTGAGACCAACTTGTTTTTGAAACCATCCACCGCTCCCTCAATTTTGCGAATAATAAAGCAAATCTAAAAAGGGAGAAAGGGGGAAAAAAGGATGGATTCCAATTTAACGCCCTAACTTTTTAAAATTTACGTGCTAAATTAACTAAATAGACAATTCTACCCTCAATCTTATAACGATCACCCCCAATTCCCAAAATCCTCTACCAGTCCGTCGCCCTAAAACCTGTCGGTCGCCAACGATAAATCCCTAACCCATAATGGCCAATCCCGTCGGTCGCCGGCGATAGTCCCTCTCAAGGGGCGTTCTCTTCTGCATATATCTCGTCGCTGGCGAAACTATCTCTGTTGTTGCTCTGCCCCGTTGCTGTTGAGGACGGAGGCGCCCGTTGCAGTTGAGGAAGGAGAGAGAAGGCTTGAGAGGCTGGTTCCTGCTGCTCCGCCCTTCACTGGTGAGGAAGGAGAGGGAAGGCCGAAGCGACTGACTGCTGCTGGTCTGCCCGATCGCGATTCCGACCCAAAATCGGTTCCGGCCCTGGGTCTCTCCTACTCTTGCGTCACACTGATACCAACAGTAGCTCATCATCAGAGAGGAAAGAAAATCGTCGTCGGGTACAGTTTTGCAAGTCGAGGTTGGAAAGGAAAATGACGATTTCGGCCCCCGGTGTCAGTGCGACACCAAAATCGATACCCGACCACAAAGCTAAATCGAGATTAGGGCGATGGTGGCGTCGACGAGGCCCCAGCCGCCGCAAGGAATCCCTAGGTCGGTGGTGACAACAGAACTCGGAAGGGAGTTGCCACGGTGGCATTGACAACAGCACTCGGCGACGACGAAGACTCCCATGGCGGCCGGTGGCGACAGCCGTTAATCATAGGGCAAAAAATTTGTTAGGGATTGGAAATTTTTTGGGGCAAAAACATCAAATTACCAAGTTAGGGCGACAAATTTTAAAAACCCTAGGGTATTAATTAGTACCTCCAAAAAAGGAAGGTTGTCGAAACCTTTCATGGCATCCACAAAAATTATTAGTAATCTACATCGAAGAGAAGTAGATAATGATGATGTGGACTTGATCCTTAAGTTTCTCCACTTCTGTTAGTTGTTATTTGTATAACGTTGGCACCACTTTCCACTCCTCTTTTCCTCTTTTGGTTGTCTATTCCTATGCTGCACACTCTGTTATCTTGTACTATAAATTAGTTGAGTTAATAATAGAAAAGCAAGTCTTGGATCTTCTTGGTATCAAAGCCTCTTATGCTCTAAGAGTCAAAATCCATCATTCTTCTGTTTCATCTTCTTCGTTATTTCTCACAATGGCCACAGAGACATCCTCTGTTTCTTCTTCCTCCGCCTCCGGCGACTCTACTTCAATGCCGGCCCTCTCAATCCTCTGTTTCTTCTTCCTCCGCCTCTCAACATCTTTAGCAATTTTGAAAAAAATTCACATAGATTGTAACTAAAGATTTCAAAACTGAATGGCTAAATATATAGCATGTATCAAGCATAATAAAGTAACACATAGCACACAATTAGATCCCACGCTTTAAAATGGACATTGTTCTCAATGGACTAAAGATAGTGAGCTATGAAAAAGGTTGGTATGAGTTACTTCATTTGTCATTCTAAGTTCAATATAAGGGCTTAGACTACGAACATTCTTGTTTAGGGAGATTCTAAATCAAACAGAAGAATAAAGAAGCAGATAATGGAGAGTGCAAATGCTTCAATTCCTAAATCCAAGGTAAAAAACAAAGGAAAAGTGATACTCCCATCATTCTTCAAAGAACATGCTCTCTTAGATGACCAATCAAACTCTAACATCCATTCATCGTCCATTCCAATTGCATTCGTCGTTGTCGGCACCATGGGATGTGGATTGAATTCATTTTGTCAATGATAGCGGTTGAACTCTTGATATTACTTCGATGCTTCATACTCCAGCTAATTGATCTTCTCTAGAAACGCCTTGGTCCTTGTACTATTTATCTTGAGTGCCATTGTTTTAGATTCGAATGCGGAGTTGGTGGAGCTTCCTTCAACACCTCACCCCATACTAGATCTTCATTGTATTGATCTCTATCTTCGGCTCCGTCTCCCCATACTAGATCTTCATTCAAAATAGTGAACCAGTGGACCGGTAAAATCGTGATGGTTTATCTAGTTTTATGTTGAACCATGAAAAACCATTTAGTCCATCAATAACCGTCCATACAATAAATCGAACCGCTATCGCAACTGGTTTGGTGCTGTTATAACAATGGTATTTTGCCAGAAAAATTGGAAATGAAGCAAGGCCCAACACTCAGTAAAAAATACAATAAGCTCAGGTTAAGGCCCACCCGAGAGTCAGCGACCGAACGTAGGAAGTCTCATCTCTCTCTCCTTCCCGCTGCTTGCTGCTGCAGTGCTGCTGGATTGGCCTTGCAAGTTGCAGCTATCTCTCTTTCCTACATTCTCCCTTTTTCCTTTTTCCCTCGGAAAAATAGTCACTCGTTTTCAGCTTCCATTCCTAGGGTTCCCAGCACCACCACCGTCGTACCTCTCCCTCTTCTTCATTCACTATCAGTTCCCAAATCCAATCCTCAACCATGAAGCTCACCGTTAAAACCCTCAAAGGCAGCCATTTCGAGATTAGGGTTCAGCCCACCGACACGGTCAGTCACTCCTAACTCTCTTTCCCTTCTCCTACATGTCCCCTTTCATTCTCCATGTAAATCTCGCCGCCTATTCTAATATCTGGTTTGCGACCTGGCTATGCCGACTGAGATTGGATTCGAGCTGTGATTTTACAGTTCGTTTTCTGTTAAAGCCGTAACGGGATTCCTATTTGGAATTTTATTTAATAGGAAGGATGCAATCTGCTTTACTGATGATTTCTTGTTCTCTTGGTTCTGATGGATAGGTGATGGGCGTCAAGAAGAACATTGAGGATGTGCAGGGCAAAGACAATTACCCTTGTGCCCAGCAGTTGTTGATCCACAACGGTAAAGTGTTAAAAGATGAGACTACACTGGCTGAGAACAGTGTCTCAGAAGATGGGTTTCTGGTTGTTATGCTTAGCAAGGTAATGTTGGAACTTGCGCCCTGAGACTGTTCCGGTGACTATCGGGTTCAATCCTTAAGGTTTTTGTGATTCTATTTGCGATTGTAACGAGAGTTTGCAATTTGCGACCATTCCATTTTTTTATTTGTTCTGCTGCAATGATTTGACTGTGTTTAGTTAATGCAAACTCACTAGTAAGTTGGACAATAAGAATTGAGAGGACTGGGGGAAAAGTAATAGGGACTTATTGTAGTGAAAAAGAAGCAAATTAAGTAGTGCAAGATGCCTTTGTTAATGCAAGCATAGCGCGAAGAATTGTGTTATGAACATCTTCAAAGGGGAGGTCGAATTGGAAGATGTGCCTCGGAAGTTCAGTTATTCTGTAAACATATTTCATAGTTGAGAATGTTATGGTGATTGTGGTGTGGCTGAAACTTTGCTGTGGGGTTTTGCAGATTGATCAGTTCTATTTGATTTGATCATGATTGTTTTTCTGTTTTCATTTTGCTTTTAACAGAGTAAAAGTTCTGGCTCAGCTTCAACATTGTCCAGTCAGGTATTTTTCTGGGTTCTTTTTCTTCCTTCCCCTGTTTTTCTTCTATCTTCTTGTTCTTTAAGTAATTGGTCCATTTATGCATGAAAAAGCCTGCATCTACGACAACCCCAGCTACATCTTCACAAACCTCAAATCCAACTCCAGCACCTGAAGCTCAAACAGTGTAAGTTACTCATTGTTTCAATTTTTATGATTTTGAAGTCAGCTGTAAATGCCTTTGCATTGCTAATATACTATTTTTGCAGGGCCCCAAAAAGTACTGCCTCTGCCTCAGATGCAGCAACAGAAAAGTAAGACCTATATCTTCGACCTCTTATTTTCTTTGGGTGCATGACATAACTCTTATTTTCTTTGGGTGCATGACATAACTTGTAAGCTAGGATGTCTTGGTTTATGAATGCTGCACTAGATCTTGTGTTGTTTATAATTGAACACCTTTCTTTAGGCAAACACAAGCCCCAACTTTTAGGCAGATGCTTAACCAAGCCTGCTAGATCATGTGTCTACAACTATGAAAAGAAAATTTCCATTCAGACTAACTGAACTTGACATCTCACTGATGTAGATGGTTGGTTCTTTGCCTGATTTTACCAAGTTAGTCTTCCACCTTTTTGCTATTTAAATGCTTGTAGTCCACATGGTCATTCTCTCGATTGCCACCTCTCTGCAAAGTTATTCGTGTATTTTGTCTTAATATTGCAGGGTTCTGTGGAGTGTTAAAGTATTGTTCTGCTTTTGAGCTCTGATGCTATTGGACATGGTTTAAATCTTTTGGCCTCTGTTTGAGTGAATCGTGTTTTATCTCTCTTTTTCACGGGGCCCTTGTTCAACTGCTGAACCACTAAGCAGGGATTCATGTTTAATATGGAAATTGTCATTCTCATTTTTTTAATTCTTGGGAGAATGAAAGTTGAGGCCAAGTCTTGCTATTGTCTTGTGGTATTATAAAAGCAACTTCACTGTATTTGTTGACCTTCCATTATTTGCATGAAAGTTTATATTCATGTTCCGTTAATTTGTGACTATCATTGAGTTGCACAATAGGTTGTTTCTCTATGGGGAAATGCACCTTGTGATGCGCGAGGTTTCTGAAACGGAGGCCTTTATGATACATTTTCTGTGTGATTTCAGACAATAAAACATGCTAAGTTTTCAATAGTTAATGATATTTACTGTTCTTGTTAGGATTTATATAAATTCTCTATTTTGGATAAATTGGATTTGGCCTCTTGGAAAGGGAAGGTTTTGACTTCATAGAAATGCTTCTCCCTGCTCGATTTCTTTCCTTCAACTTATAAGTGGTGGCTTATTCTGCTTAAAATTTTCACGCAAGTTAAAATTGCTCATTTATCTTTGTTGCAGTCCACCAGCTGACACATATGGTCAAGCTGCTTCAACTTTAGTTGCGGGTACCAACCTAGACCAAACGGTTCAGCAAATAATGGATATAGGTGGAGGCACCTGGGACAAAGAAACTGTTACTCGTGCACTTAGGGCAGCATATAACAACCCAGAAAGGGCAATAGATTACCTGTATTCTGTGAGTATTTTTTTAGCATTTTGGGGTGCCATACTTAATCTTGGATTAACCACTGATTCTAGCCATCTTCCTTGTTAGGGTATCCCTGAAACGGCTGAAGTAGCTGTCCCTGTGGCTCGTGTGCCTGGTGGGCAGGCTACGGAAGCAGTAGCATCCCCTGGGGCTCCTGTAACTGGAGCTCCGAATTCTGCCCCCTTAAACATGTTTCCTCAGGTAGATCCTTATTCTTCCGAGGGTTTTGATTGTTCACTGATGTTTGCTATGTATCATATACTAAATGCACTTCCTCCAGGAGCCACTTCCTGGTGCTGGAGCTGGTGGCGGGCTTGCATCACTGGACTTCCTTAGAAACAATCAACAGGTATGCTTTAATGCAACAATTTTTTCCCCAGTTGGATAATGTGATAATTTCTTATTTGCCATGGAGTTAGTGAGAAATGTATTGAGATCTCAAGCCATTTTTGGAAAGATTGGGAGTAACCTGGTACATTGCACTTATACCTTTTACGGAAGCAATGAAGGACCCATAAATAATAACACCACATAGGCAATGGCTTATTGAAGGTGCTCATATATTGTAGTTCACCAGGATGGGAGATGATGAAACAAGCTTTTCTTAACTTCTCTCGAAATTGTTGAACATTTACTTGATATGCTCCGAGTGGATTACTTTTTTTTTATCCACTCTATACTAGTCCGTTAAAACATCTGTGTGCTGGATTCCTCAGAAGGCAATTATAGATAATTTCTGTTTTCTTGTTTTCCTAAATACTCTATACTAGTTCCAAGCATTGCGCTCGATGGTTCAGTCAAATCCTCAAATCTTACAGGTATGTGCTGTCTTCTTCACCAATGACCTTGTATGATGATGATAGGATTACTTGCCTAAAAAAGTTCATCATTGCATCTCTTCTGTTGTTGCAGCCCATGCTTCAGGAGCTTGGGAAGCAGAACCCGAATCTCTTAAGAATGATTCAAGAGCACCATGCGGAATTTCTACAACTAATAAATGAACCTCAGGATGGTTCAGAAGAGTACGTACTATGGTTGCCTGCTAACAGGTCATGAAAAAGTTAAGTCACTTGAAGACATGACTGCCATCCTAATGAATGAGCTAAGAAAAGTATCATATGGTTACAGGGAGATGTTTGACCAGCCTGACCAAGAGATGCCCCATGCCATCAACGTTACACCCGCGGAGCAGGCTGCCATTGAACGGGTCTGCTTCATTTGCCTAACATTGATTAATCTATTTTGTGTATCGTTTTTGTGTTCATTTGGTTCATTGTTTGCTAATTACGACTGAATTTCGAGTGTTGCAGTTGGAGGCGATGGGATTTGATAGGCCCCTTGTGATTGAAGCATTTTTGGCCTGTGATCGAAACGAGGAACTAGCGGCCAATTACCTTCTGGAGCACGCGGGAGATTTCGAAGATTGACTACGGCCCCAATCAATTCATGGGAATTTGTAGGAATGAGATTTTGGGGTTTCATAGATTTTATTTCATGATTCTACAGGGTTGATCAATCAGTGTCCTTTTCTTTCTATGACAATCTTGGATTTGGTTGGTTGTAGTAGTGATTTGGACCAACTTGTAAACTACTGTCAAATATAACTCCTTTCCCTCGCATCAATTTTGAGAATGGTGTTCATGCTCGATTGAACTTTGTTTCACATATTCAGCACATGCCAAACCGCCATGGATCTTCAGTCTACATTAACCTTCAACGTTTGCTGTATAGTAGATTAGTAGTGTTCATCACCACCAGTCTGTCTGTAGGTAGGTATCTCTGTTTTCTCGACATGCCTCCACGGCCGAACTTCCTTGCAGATGACATCATGACAATGGTGCCTTGTTGCAGTACTTCACCATCTTCTTGGCCACCGTATACAAATCCTCGTCGTATCAAATAACAATCTTCCTGCTATGGGGCTGTAATATGTCACACCGGACAAATTCAGCGCCGCTAACATGGTCTGCAAAAAATAGGGTTGTGAAAGTAGACCAAACCGTTTGAAAAACAATGGACCAAATTGGATGTTCAGTTTGGTTCAGATCGTGGACCGTTAAGAATAATTTCATCTGGTCCATTGTCTGTATCATATGATTTTTTGATCTCTTGTTCTGGTCTGGTCTAGACCGCGGTTTATCGGACCAAACCGTGGACTCAATCGACTTCCCAATATGTGTTAGCAAACCGCTCGACCACTCTCTCGGTTCCTCCAACAAGACCCAAGTCTCAACCATAACTTTGAGAAACTCGTCCGCTCTTTCATTCACAACCACATTTCACCAGAGAGTATAAACGATCGTGTCTTCATGACATTATGTTAATGTTTATGACGTTATGGTGCAAGTTGCGATGCTTTGACTTTGTATTTTGTTGTTTACTGGGAATAGGGTGTCAAAATTCTACATGCATGTTGGAGTTTATGTTTTAAGGGAAAAAAACAATTTATTCTCGGTTATTGATTCAATTTTGTGTAGTTGATTAAACAAATTGATCATTTTTCATTCATTGTGGTCTATCTGGACCAGACCACACATGCGTGATCTGGAGCGTATAATATGTGATATGATCTCTGGTCTATACTCCAGCCTCTCAATCTAGACCATTAACCTTATAAATGTTTTAGTCTTAACCAAACCACCCCGTTTTCTAGCCCTACATAGAACTAGTGCCCAAGAGGGATCCCTCCCAAGATCAGCAGTACAACTGACGGAAGCAGTAAAAGCTATCGTGTTGTAACGCATAACGACGTTGTATCTTTAGGGAAAGTTGAACAATTATGTTTTTATTTATATCAAGACAATTTTGAGAAATATCCGACAAATGTGAAAACTTAATAGTTATTCCATAGTTTATCTGAAATGTCGAATAAAATATTTTATCGCGAGATATGTTGCAGTAGTTAGCAAATGTCGGTAATCCTCAAACTAGACGTGTGTGTGGCGTCATTAATTTATAAAAAAGGGTAAGAGTACTTGTATTTTGTAGCGGTATAAATTATGACAATTTTCACAAATGTCGGTTAATTCACAAGCTATATGAGTGCGCGGTGTCATTCATAAAAAAATGTTGGCGTAACGTATTTTTTAGCAACATATATTTTGATAATTTTGATAAATGTCGATTACTCTACAAGCTTGATTGGTATTTTCTGACATTGAAAATTGGATTAATATGTAAATTTAAAAAAATGTAGATACTAAAACCTTATAAAATTTAGGTATCACAATATAATTTTTCAATGATATTTTATATTAAAAATTAGGTTAATGTCTATTTTTTATCCAAACCTTTTTCGGATTCTTTTTTATAAGGCAAACTTATCGAAATACTAAGAATTAGCCAAATGTCAACTTTCATTTAGCAGTTTTGTTCGTAATATTGACTTGGCAATGATTTGGAAGAGACAAATGAAAGTCAATATACCAAAATTTTAGTATTTTAACGAAAAAAAGAGTTACAAAATTATTAACGATAAAGTAAAAATTGTTAATATTTTGATGCATTACGAAAGTTTGGCTGATTAATAGTATTTTAATAGGTTTGGATAATGTAAAAGAATCTGAAAAATGTTTGAAAAAAAAAAAATAGACATTACCCTAAAAATTAAACTTTAGGTAAATCAACAACTTTTAATCAAAGAAAAGTTGAGACTCTCTAAGTGTTATTATTGACCTTGTAAGTTATGATCTATATATTACCTAAAATTTAGATTGAGTGATGGTTCCTAGTGTTCAATTAGTTGTATGATTGTGAGTTTTATTTGCTAGGGGGCAAACAAAATTCAAGTGTGTAATGACACTTCATTTATAGTGTTATTACTCTGATGTTTGATTATATTTTCCTCTTTCATCAATGCATTTTCAGTAATTTCTATTATATTTCATACGGAGTTTACGATAGACATTGACTTGTATCTCTCTCTATCTCGTTCCTTTCTTTACGCTACCCTTTTTCACTTCCACAGAACCCCAGGCGTACTTATCGAAGATGCAGAAGGCGTTGGGGAGCTGCTGGGCATTCCTGTCAGGCTGTCCTTGTCGGGAAAGTAAGCTGCCATGAAAACAACATTTGCAGGGCAGTCAGCGCCGGGCAGCAACGACGAGGCGTACGACCTGCAACCATTCTCACCGGCGTCGAAGTAGAGGTCCTGTATTACCCCTTGCGATAAGTCCATTTACGGAATGAAGATCTCTGACACAAACCCTCTGAATCCTAAAGGCGGCTCGAAGCCAAACTCTAACACTATGTTCCTGAAGGAAGGAAGGAAGGAAAATGGAGGGGAGAGGAAGGGAATTAGGAGGGGAGGGACAATTTGGAGGTTAAGGAAAGTGGAAGGAAAATGTTGTTTTATAAAGGAAAGTGAGAAGGAAAATGTGTATTGGGAATTGTGATGTATATGTTATTTTTTTAGGTATGTAATAGTGAAATAATTTAATTATATATAGATATTATTTTCATTGCTTATAAATTGTGAATTAAATTTTTACTTTCTTGCTAATTTTGTTCACTATTAAAAATCAAAAGTATATCATTTGAGAAAAGGTGTCAACCTATTATTAAAATTTTGTTTGCTATTTTGTTGATTTATCAACATAGAAACTAAAAACATAAACAAATAACACATCACACTGCACATACACAAACTCTTCTAAAAGTAGGTCAATAGCTAATACTATACACATATAAATTCGTCCAATAGTCTGGTAAAACCGTCCATACGTTACAATTTTACAAACATTGATTTTAATAAGCAAATAAGATCACATTCCATAATTATATTTGCCTATAATTATTCATGATAAGATCCTTTCCTAAATTATTTTTAACAAGAAATAATTTATTTAGAAATAAAAAAATGTCCAAGAATATTTTAAAAATACGAATGATAGACATGTGAAGTGTAATACTTATAAAAAGAAGTATCAATAATTATTACCAATGTTACAAAATATATTGTACATACGATATGACCTAAAAAACTCGTACCGAAAGCAAAATCGGTAGGTGGTAGTTAACGATTGAAACTCTAGTAAGTTTTTCGATCCTTAATTATTATTATATCTTCTTATTAGAAATTAACAATACAATTATCTTCCAAATATGAGGCGGAAAGTGCACCAAAAAAGTGGGTGCACCGAATACGCCACTATATATATATATATATAAATAATATCACATACAAAGGAAAATAAATAGGCAAAATACACTTGTTTAGCCAAAACTTTGACGGTTTGGCCAAATATAGCCACTTTTGACGAAATACCAAAAATAGCCACTTCCGTCTAATTCTTTAACGGTGTGAGTTAACGTGCTGACTGTACAAACGGATCATCCAACCTGGCGATTTTTGTCCCGTAAGAATTTCCCACATGGATTTAATTAAAAAAATTAAAAAAATAACAATAATTAAAATTTAAAATTCTCGCACGTCCACTCCTCCCTCACCGCCCGGTACATACAATTCCCCAGATCTACTCTCCCGCCGCCGCGCCGTTCTTCTCCGCCGAGTAGGTCGAAACCCTACCGGTGAGGAGCTCTAGTAAAAGACCTCCATAGTCAGATTCCGTGTGGGATTCCTCTCTCTTCCGCCGCCTTGGTGGTGGTGTTACGTTGGAGATACGCCATTCACCTTGCTACTCCTTGCACCACCGTCAACCTCGCGCTACATCGGAAAGTGATTTTGTCCTTTGTTTCTATTCCTCCTGTAATTTGGGCGACAACACAAGTTAAATAGACTCCAATTTTGTGATTGCTTTTGCAAATTTATATTTGAAGGGGAACAGAGAGTTTGAAATAGATAGGGAGCTTGAATGCGATTGAAGAGGTTGCCATTATGGCATTATCTGCAAATCTGGAGACGAGAAGCTTCTCGTCCTGTGAAATGAAGTAAGCCAAAGGCGGCAGCAAATTCGAACGCTTCTGATAACCAATGGAGAGTGGATCTGAGTGTCGTGACGAACGATGGCGTAATTGAAGCGGTACGGCGACGCCGTCAAATCAGCTCCGAATCCCTGCCGCAAGCAAACCCATAATCCCCAAATCCGTCACCTCTCCGCACACCACTTCCTCATCCTCACCACCAGCGAAGGAGAATCGGGTGCCAGAAGATCCCCGCCAGCCGCTCGGCTACAGGAACCTCGCCGCCGGGACAAGATCTGTTCATCGTCGGTGCCCATAAATCAGTTCTTCTAGGCGGAGGTTGAAGTTGATGATTGTGGGAGTTGGGTGAATGAAAGGGAGAGACAGAGAGAGGTCGGAGCAGATTGGAGAAGGAGACGAACAGGTGTGGGAGAGAGGGTTTGTTGGGAGAAGATGAAATCAGGAAAAAGAATAAGTGAATAAAATTTTAAAAAATGATTTATTAAAAACTTAATTTTTTAATATGACGTGGCATTTATTTGTTGTTGGAGACTGAGGTGGAAATGAAAGAGAGGGTGAGTTGGCAGCCAGGTAAGCGTGCCGTTAGTTTGACTAACGGTGTCATTGACGACGTTAAAATATGTAACCGAAATGGCTATATTTGTCATGAAATGTTCAAAATTCTGGCTATATTTGGTATTTTGCCAAAAGTGGCTATTATTGTCACAAACGTGAAAGTTTTGGCTACACAGTTGAATTTTGTCAAATAAATAATCAAAGAAGGAAGTGGCGGGCACCACCACCACCGTGACTCCACCAAGTCTGCTTTCTCCCCAAATTGGAGGGGCTGGGGGAACAGTA